CGGTAATGGTCGCCGTTTAGCTTTGGGTCCTGGTTTGCCGCCAGGATGCGGCCAGGATGCGTAGGGATGTGCGGCAGGATGTGCAGTTCGCCGCCTCGCAGGATGCACCTTACCCAATATTTTATTTCCTGCTTATATTTTTCATTTTTCGCCTGTCATGTGCGCGTTTCAAAAAATTCATGGCAGCCCTTCAAGGCGCAACCACTCTTCTAGTTGCAAAAATATGTAGTAGTACACATGTACCCCTACCTGGTTGTATTTTAGTTTTATTTTTATTCCATGCTTTACATAATTAAGTTCTTGTCGATGGCAAAGTTTTTGACATTTACTCATACGAACAGGCAACTTTTGGATGCTAAAAATGGCGCACATGGCTCGAAATTAATTTCATGGCCCCAACTTGGCAACAGCAAGGACACACAACTAACACAACATAAAAACCAACACATGTTTTTAGAACGTGTTAATTAGGTGAATTTCTGAGATGAATTTCCAGCACACCTTCCAAATTAAGAGTGTCCTCGAAGAGGAAGTGAGCAAAAGCCAAAACCTTGAACTAGTGGCGAATTGCTAACAAGGTCGGAAAAGTGGAGGCGGAGGTTTTCCCACAGGTGGGAAAGAGCTTCTAAATCTAATTAAATATGTTAGCCATTTATAAACAAATTGGGATAAAATATATTGTGTAGCTAGCATTAAAACCAGGAACTTATAAACTTATTACATTACATTATTAATATTACATTTGAGTAAAATCAAACACATCTATTAATATTTATAGATATGTTTAAGCAACCTAAGTTAATAAGAATTATATTTATATAACAACAGCTGGATATTTTCTTAATGACAAAAATGATAGGGAGCAAATAGCTATAACCATATTAGACTAATATCCCTTATTAACTAAATCGAAAACCATGACTATAAATTGCACTGGAACTGAAACTATTCAGAGCTAATTGAATGGGAGTACAAAACCACCTCGGATTGCGAAGAAGGCCGAAAGTAAAATCAAAGCGAATTTATGCTCTAATCAAGCCTAACAACTATAGGAAATTGCCGAGGCCCGCACAACTGCAAAGGCTTTTATATTGATTTATAAATTTGCAGATTCCGCTGGCATCAGCAGCAAACAAACTTTCTATGGGCAAACTTTCAGGGGATGGCACATAATTCCAGGGGCCAACAACTATCTATTTTGCGCCCCCTCAAGGACGTTCTAATTGCATTTAATTAGCTGCCACGATGGCCTCATTTTTCCCGCTTTTCTTGTCCCCGTGCTGTTAACGTTGAAAAGTTGACCGACATAAATTTCATTAATTAGTTAAAAATTTGGCCGGCACTTTGTGAGCAACAATTTTTGAAGATTTGTTAACGCTGCTTGGTCATTTGCAGGCCGGACCTTTTCGGTCATTAAACAAATGTATTTATGGTCTGCAGGCCAGAGGTTCGAAATGAGCACTCGTGGGCAAAACTTGGCCCCTCAAGATCAAGACCGCAAAGTGGCGGCAGAATATGAAAAGTCCACCCGGCAATATTTGATAACTTTTCCCAGCTCAACTTGGCCAACTTTAAGCGGCTGCTTAAACTCTCGACAGAGGCGGTGATAAACAAACAAACTCGTCTAGTGTTCCACTTTCCGTTCGCCGTCTTTCGGCACTTTCTCGCCAGGATTTCCCGGACATGTAGCGTTTTCCTCTAGGCTTGGGTATTGAGAGGAAAACTCGTTTGGCCATTGACAAATTCGGGACTGGGGGATAAATCAATTGAAAAATATTAATGAATTATTTATGAGATAAGACGAAGGGCAAATAAAACAGGAATAGGAAATAAAACAAGTCGGGCCAACAGAAAAAGCCAATGGGAAAATCCCCCTAGGTCCGAACCGCAGGAGGAAATAACCGCAAAAAAAGATTGGAAATGCGAGAGAAAAGGCAAGGAAAAACAAAGAAAAACGCCAGACCAAAACCAAAACCAAAGCCCAAAAAGAACGAACTGTAGAAAAATTACGCTGGAGACTAATAAAACAAGATTATTGCGGTAAAACCGCAGACAATTGGCGGGGCGAAAACGGAAGGGGGGGGGAATTTGAGCCAGAACTAGACAATGAGCCAGGCAATAAATCAGCAGCCGCAGAGCGCAGACAACTGCAGTTGGAAATGGTTGGGAAAATCCAGAACTCACACGCATTTAAGTAGTTTTCCCAGCATAATGATGCAGAAGATAATTATGCCAATATGGGTGGAACAATCCAAGCGGAAGAGTGGCAGACAGCAGGAGGCTTTCCCTGGAAAAGCCCGGAAAATGTTCGTGTAAATATTAAATATTGACCATCCGGAACTGAAGAACGGATGCCGGAAAATGGGATGCTAAAGCTGGCTAGAAATGTGTCTGAATTTCAATTTCGTTTGACACGTTCAAGCAAATGCAATGAATATCCCCAGCATCTGAAGGCAATCAGTTTCCATCACTCAAGTCGAGATAAACAGAAGGGGAAACTGTCAAATATTTCTCCAATTGAAAGTGTGTGAAATTGCATATGTGCATATGTGGTTCTGCAAATTTTAAGGTAACATTGATTGCAAAATTAATTAATAAATATTTGGGCCGGCATGCATACTTTCATTTCGTCACAATAAAAAAGGAATGCTGTCACATACTTAATTATTATGTATTAATAAACGTTGTATTTATTTGCATAAAGGTAATTGAGCCAGCGATTTCGAATTGATTATTTATCCAATATTGGTTAAGTACAAACATATTGTGGCGGAAGCAAGTAAACATACTTTACCTATTAATGTATTCGGATTCTTTAAGTTAACATCAAATATATTGTATAAAATTAAACTGCTTATTATATTTTAAACATTATATTTTTGTGACATTTTGATCACCACATGTTTACATTTCCCTCTAATTACAATTGTTTTGTTTGTCACGATTCCACACATTCAATTTGCCAAACGAAAAATGTAAAATATTTATTAAACACTATTAAGCCCAATACAGCAAAATAATTCATTATCAAAGTATGTACAATTAATGCTGACCGCATTACAACAAATAGCATAAAATAGAAAATGTCCTGTACGCCAGTGAAATGAATTTAAACCGCAAATATCCTGACAAAAAACTCATCACTCGTCACAGGATTTTTATGCTTGAAAATTAATTATTAACAAATTGCTCAGCAGGAAAGCGAAACAAATGAATGGCTCGTGTTATTGCTGTTATGGCTGTTGCAGATGTGGCAGATGTTGCTGCCACTCCCGTTGTGAGCAATTTGTGCTGTATGCAATAAATGCAATTTGAACTATTAAAAGCATACTTTTAGCACACTTTGCGGAGGTCCAAAATGGACGGACGGCGGCCATTTTAGCTATTTTCCACGCACGTAAACATAATTTGCATTGCTCTGAAATATTATGGCAGCAGCTAAAAGTGTGCAATACGAAATTCTCCCACTTTTTTCACCGCTTTCCCTTTCCAAACACAAAAGCAGAGGCAAAAAGTTCAAGTAGTAGAGCAAACAGACAGAAAGGACACGGCCAGAGATGTCCTTCGGCTTTTATTTAGCCATTTAATAAATAGTTGTTGTGGGGTTTTTTTTAAATCGGTTTTAAATATGATAAATAATATCATAAAAAATATTTTTTTTAATTATTGTAAACCTTGAGTGTTAGATATTACGCCAATTAAAAATCGTCATGAAACAAAGCCAAGAAGAATCCTATAAAAATGTTTTAGGTTAAAGTAAACTGACTTAAAGTAATTCCTTAATAATTTGCTTATGGTTAAACAAGTAATAACATAAGGAAGTAAATTGTAAAGTTTTAAAAGTTTTGAAAGGAATAGAAATTTGGTATACATGAATTTTGGTTTAGCATAAGTTTAGAATTCCTTTTTATACCCTTGCAGAGGGTATTATAATTTTGGTCAAAAGTGTGCAACGCAGTGAAGGAGACTTCTCCGACCCTATAAAGTATATATATTCTTGATCAGGATCACCTCCTGAGTTGATATAGCCATGTCCGTCTGACCGTCTGTCCGTCTGTCTGTCCGTCTGTCTGTCCGTCTGTCTGTCCGTCTGTCTGTTTCTACGCGAACTAGTCTCTCAGTTTTAAAGATATCGAATTCAAACTTTGCACACACCCTTCTTTCCTTTGCACGCAGTATATAAGTCGGAACGGCCGGGATCGGCCGACTATATCCTATAGCTGCCATATAACTGATTGATCGGAAATGCCATAACTCTGCTGTTTGTTAAGTTAGAAAGTTGGGACCTTCTATGGGTTTCATATTTGGCCAATCAATCCGACGTACTAAATTTCATAAGGATCGGCCGACTATATCCTATAGCTGCTATATAACTGATTGATCGGAAATGCCATAACTTTGGTGTTTGTGAAGTTAGGAAGTTAGGATTTTCTATGGGTTTTATATTTGGCCAGTTAATCTGACCTACCAAATTTCATAGGGATCGGCCGACTATATCTTATAGCTGCCATATAACTGATTGATCGGAAATGCCATAACTTTGGTGTTTGTTAAGTTAGGAAGTTGGGACCTTCTATAAGTTTTATATTTGGCCAATCAATCCGACGTTCCAAATTTCATAAGGATCGGCCGAATATATCCTATAGCTGCTATATAACTGAATGATTGGAAATGCCATAACTTTGGTGTTTTTAAAGTTAGGAAGCTGGGATTTTTTATGAGTATTAAGAATGCATCATATGAATAATTTTGGAGAATATAATTTGCAGAATATTCTGCAAGGGTATTTCAACTTCGGCTCCGCCCGAAGTTAGCTTTCCTTTCTTGTTTAATATCTTCTTTGTTTTAAAACCAGCCTTTGAAATTGTATTCAAAATGTATTTACTACACATGCCAATTTTAACTGCATTATTTTGGCTTGTTTTTTTTTGGTCAGCTAAAAGTAGCCAGGTCAAAGGCCAACATAGTGCCATATCTGCGGAAAGGGCAAGAGCACTTACCGTTATAGAATGGCCAGAGTAGCGAGTGTTGTTGTTGCTGTTGCAATGGTTGCTGTTGCTGTATTATGCTAACAACTAACGCCATTATTATAATAACTGCTTGCGTCGTCGGTGCTGCCCTTGTTGTTGCTGCTTTTGTTGTTGCTGGTGTTGCTGTTGCTGGTTTTGCTGCTGTTGTTGCTGCTGCTGCTGTTGCTGTTGCTGCTGCTGTTGCTGCTGCTGCTGCCGTGGATATTGCTGCTGGGACGTCGACATCAGCAGCATGGCCTGGGCTACGCGATTCGATGACGTCGACGTCGGCGGCGCCGCTGCGACGCAAAAATCCGCATAAATTTATATTGCAAATTTGTTTCCCCTCCTGTTGCCGTTGATCCTGGTCCTGCTGCTCCTGCTGCTCCTGCTGCTCCTTCTGTTGCTGCTGCTTGTGTTGTTTAACAATAACTATTGCCGCAGGCATCCAGCGAGATTTAATAGTTTTTGCCTGTCGTTGAGTTTTATTTGCCAGTTTTCAGCTGATTTTTCTTGTTGCTGCATTTAAGTGCTGATGTTGCTGCCGTTTCTGCTGTTGCTGCTGCTAATGTTGCTACTACTGCCCCTGCTGCCGCCGTCCTTGTCGACTGTAGCAGCATAATGCGCCATTCGTAGTTGCTGCTATTATATTTTGTTTTATGCTTACTTAAACTTTTACTTTTGCTAGCCGTCAATGAAATATTTGAGCCAAACGCACTGTCGCTGGTTGTGTTTTTTTGTATATTTCAACTATTTCAGTTCACTTTAAGCATACCTTTATTTGCTTCACTGCACAGGAAAAATAAGCAATGAAGCAATCACTTTCTGGTGTGCAAGCCCCGCAGCAAAATGTCCGTGTTAGAGAGGAAAAAGTGTGGAGAGTTCAAGAAATGTGATGGGACTTAAAGGGTTTTATGTGTGGCTTAAATGCTTTGCAATGTTATGGAAATCCTTTTTCCCGCTGTCCATTGCAGCAGTAAAGATATGACTTTCATCTGTATATCAAACAGCTTGGTAGGTAAAAGAAAAGAGAGTTTGATTTCGCAAACTACTTCTATACATTTTAAAGTCCTTTTAATGGACGGATTTTTAAAAATGGCTTATGCAGCGGGAAATGCCTTCCATTTTAATTGGTACTCATTTTATATTGCTTAAAATCACTCGACAGCACTTTGGATTACTACATCTCTAAATACTCAAGTTTTCATTTCTTTTTGAAGAGTTCATTTTTAAATGGTAACAATGTTAAGAGATCTGTCACTATTGTCACTAATCAAAACCCTTCTTCGAATATTTTTGCATTTAAAGACAACTACACTATGCCTTGCATTTCTAAATATTTTCTTATTAAAAGTCTTTTAATCAGTAATCTTGGTCATACCCCAATCTAGTCTTATATGCCCTCCATTTTAGTGGATGTTTTTTTAAATCTTCCACCTGTTGCCCTGCGCGTCAACACTTTTGCTTTCCATGATTTTCTCTGCGAGTGGGAAAGTTTCAACCTTTCAGTTTGCCATTTAGCTGCCACTTTCCCTGCACTTCAGTTAACTCCACTCCGCCCCGAGGGAGGACCCCTCGCAGGACCTTCGACAGTCCGTTTCAGTTTGCTCTGGTCTGGTCTTTTGCCAGTTTCCTTTTGGACATCAGTTTACGTGGCCATTTCTAGCTTTCGCCCCCACAGGCTCCCTTGGCCATTTGCTGTTAGTCTAATTTAATTGCATTCGTGGCTCGTTTTGTTACGTATACGCAGAGTGAGCGGCCGGCGGGGACGAGGAAATCCATTGAGGTTGCAGTTTGTTGTGCAGCAACGCCCTGACCTGTCTATGTCCTTGCTGCTCAGCATTCCTTTGTCAATGCCCTTAATCCTTATCAGTTGCACAAAACAAAACAAAGCAAGACAGAACAGCAACCAACAAAAAATTGGCAAAAATAAACAAAGCAAAAAGCAAACACCGAGGTCCTGGCTTATTTTCCTGCTGACCCTGTTTGCTCCTCCGCTCTTACTTTCACTATATTTCGGGTGCAAGGTGAATGATTTATTACCGAATGGCGGCCGAATGGCGATTGCGGTCTGTGCGGCCATTCTTTAAACAAACCATCGTAATTAATGATACAGAAAATGAAATTCAACACACACAAAACTTCGGCGCAGATTTATTGCCTTGCACTTGAACCAAACAATAAATAAATAGTTCTAGGACTTGGAGGAGGAGCAGGAAATGACTGTGGGTTCGTTGCTGATTAGCCAAGTGAGTGTTGTGTTGGCCAGTGTAATTGTAATGGCGAGCTTTTGAACTGGACTTGTTGGGATTAATGAGAAACTAAACTGTGGAAGCGGATGCGAACATTCCAGATGGTTGCCAAAAAGGAATAAGAAAAAGGATAAAATAAAGCATGTTTATTGATAATAGATTTAAGTGGCTTAATTTTTAACATTTCTTCTAGCATTATTTAATATTTCTTATTGGAAAACTTCTAGCATTATTTTATAACCGTAGACCTATTTTTAAGCATCTTTAACTACAAAGTAAAAACATTGATATAAACATTTTTTTCAGGTCTAACGCAATTTAAGTTCTTAAAATAATCTCCCCTCTCAAAGTGATGAAGTCAAAAACTCCAAGAACACCCATTAATTTCATGAATTTTTAAGATGGGAAGAGACAAAATAAAACAATTAAAAAGTTTTCTAATGACAAGATTAAACTTTCCTCTAATGTTCTGTAAAAATAATACTTAAGACCTCATTAAGTTTTCATTTAAGATAGCATCAAATTTTCTATCAAGTTTCTGGGCAGATATTAAATATTTATTTTAAAAGGAAACGTAACCCGAATAAAAAAGCTGCAAAATGGTAAGTTATCTTTTGAATGACAAAGGGAAGCATGAGATGAAAATAATTTTTCCCCTTTTTTTTTTGGGAGCCTGATATAACCACAGCACGTAAAATCAACTTTAATCAAGCGACTCCACCTGCCTTGCGATTCCCCACAGGAAACCCCGGGGAACCAATCAATAAAATGCCCTTTAATAATGTCGAAAAGAAGACCCGTCCGGGCAGTCATAAAAAAGCGTTCCAAAAGCGATATGAAATATGCTTCATAAAGATTAAAACCTGTTCTTTCTCCTTGGCCTGCGGTAACAGATGCAGCCGGAATGTGCCGGGGCACATATGTATGTAGGAGGGCTTCAAGGAGTAGGAGTGGGAGAAGCGAGTCCTGGCTACATTTTATTATCCTAGCATGCCAGCACAGACCACAAAATGCTGCCCAACAGCTTTTGGAAGCCTTTCGCAGACCACCTATGAGCTCTGCTCTTGGCATCATCTAAGTCCCTTCCCCACACTGACAGAAAATATCTATAAGTTCCCAATACTATTGTCAAATTTTGAAGAAATCAAATAATAATGAAAGCTATAAATTACAATAAATCTGAATGAGTGCCTACAATTCAAACAAAAAAACTACACAAATCAAATATAAAATTAAATCATATTTGTAATCATTATTAGGTACATTAATGTAGTTTAAATAATCACAATTGAATTAATAAATACAATTAACATTGTTAAATCACAACACTAGAAATAAGTATAATTTAATTGTTTTTCAACAAAATTAACATACAACCCGAGTGCATTTAAGTGTGTTTCTTTCTAATGGAAAATTAAGTTTATAGTATAAATTTAATCTATAGTGTGTGCATAAGAGTTAAGCCACTTATTGTTTTTTAAGTTTGAAAATTATTTACATAATAAGTACATCGTTAACTACATTCTTTTGCCATGTGTATGTGCGTTCATGGCTAAGCGGCTTGGCCCAAGATCCAAAATGATGCGAGATGTGGAAAGGCGTAGAACAAGGAGCAGAGAGCAAGGGTCCTGGCAGGATGTCTGTCAATAAGCCTTATTCTACAAGATTTCATCTGCGTGCGTGTGTGTGCATGGCTGTTTGTGTCTGGGCTTTTCACAGGCGCGTGTTTATGAATTATTAGCATAAACAATCACACAGACCGACACAAATACATGGCGCACTAAGCCCTGTATGAATTCTGATTAAATGTAATGCGCTCAAAGCGCATTCAAAGTTGCCATTGAATTATTGATGCCCCCAGTTTGGCCGGCCAGCCACGGTCATTAGCCAACTAGCCAAAAAGTGGCCACCGAAACTTGAACGGCCTCCCGAAAACCACCGACAATGGTGTTCATTATTCAGTATATGTCCTTGGGCGGGCGTTAAGCTTTCAATGTGATTAGGTGAGCCAAGTCCTCGGCTTGTATATACGTATATATATAAATGTGGGTTCACACTCCATTAGAGTTGAAAATGTAGCCCGAATTCTTCGGCTTAAATTCGTGCGGCTTGCCCTGACAACTTAAGGAACTTTTTGCGGCCCCCAAGGCAACGGAAAAAAAAAAGCATTTCCCTTTTTACATTATTTATTCGGCCCTCGACAGCCTTTTCATATATATTTTATACATTTTTATGCCTTTCCTCACATTGAAGAATTTTAATTTTCGGCGCGCCGAAGGACGAAGACGGAAAACTTTCGGCGAGTGGAAACCTAAGCCACCTCTGGACCCATCGAAGGAAAGCCCGGTGTCCTTGCCTCGTTTGATTGATTGGTGGCAGCCAGAACAAAAGTCCCTGCCAAAGTCAGGTGAATAGTCAGGTGTCAATCGTAAGCCTGTCTAAAACAAGGACACAACAAAACAGAACAGAGCAAGGGACACCTTTTTCCGACTTTTGCAAGATGTACGGCAATGTAAATGAGATTTCTTGCCGCCCTGATTTTGAGTTTTGAGTTCTTTGCCATTTTTAATTGGCTTGTGAGTCAAGAGCCTTAAAATTACATTATTACCAGACGATTCTTTGGAAATGTAATGGCAGAAAGTGTGTTTAAAATGTGTACGATTAAAAACGGAAATTCGAGGGAAAGCAAAACAGCCTTGTGTTCGTGGAAATTCATATTTTTAGAACCCAAAAAGGGCTCTAATTTCACTGCAAATGTGGCACTTTTAAGGGGAGAATTTAATTAGGATTTATGCTGTGAGTGAACAACTTTTGAAAGCGGGCTAATCCTTTGGCAACAAAAGCGCGAACAGCTCTTTGGCCCATCGAAACCACACACAACTCCCACCAAACCAAACAAACCAGTGCAGAGCACTTTCCTGCACTTGTACACGGCTGGAAGAGCTGGCATTAAAGCCATCAACGCGGCCCGATTGCATGTTTGGGCCACATTTTGGCCTAGCTCTAGCACACACACACATGCACGGCGAAAAAACTGTGTTCTCTCATTAAGTATCTTCATTTTTTCTGAAAAGACTGCATATCAATCACCCTAGCTCGTTAAATTAGGTTATTTAATTCCATCTCATTAACTTTAACTATCATTGTTTTATTCGATTTTTTTAGAAACAATCAATTTTGATGTAACAAAAAACACATTAAATGGCTGACATATGATATGAAATACTTTTATTTAATTATTGCTGTTAAAATGTATTATGCAACAGTTAAAAAAATAGAAACAGGAAATTTTGATAGGCCTCAGGATATTGCTTTTAAATCTACGTATTTTGGACAATACGTTTTAATGATATTTTTTACAAACTTCTACCTGCAAAATAGCTGTAGATCCCACGCTTACTTCACATTAAATAAAATTTGTTATTATTTTTCCCCGTGCCTCATCTATCTGCCATAAAAAAAAGCAAAGTAAATTGCTTGACGATTTTCGCGTCATTTTTCCGACCTCACTTGGGGCATAAAACCAGGACCTCAGACCGCCCTTCTATTTCCACGCTTGGCTGAGCATAAATCACACGAAGGACGAAAGGAGGTATATGTGTTCAATGCTCGATGTTTGTTTTTGAGTGGGAATTCGGCACATTTGGCTGCATACTTTGGGGCGCCAAGGGGCTGGTTGCAATTGACAGTTTATTTATTCATTTTGACAGTTTTATGGACACGCACGAGCGAATCGGCGATTAGGGGGCTTAATTTCATGGTTAATCCGTTACAAATGTCAACTGTCAATTGGTTTTCGTTTTGTTTTTCGAAAAATACCCATTCTAGGCATTTAAACATGGCTAATTGCAGTTGCATGTATGTTGATTAGATATGCAAAATCCAAGTTTATGCGGCTGACATTTGACACAGTTGGTTATTGTAATTGTTGTCCGCTGTTTGTTAGTTGTTATTGTTTTCCCTATTTGCTGATTGACAATGACGCGCCATGTCGCCTATCGCCTGTCGCCTGATTGGGAAAAGGAGCGGGAAATGTCCTCCGCAATGTTTTGCGGCACCCACAACCACTCGCACTCGCACACAATTGATGACAATCGACACTGTTCATGAATATTTAAATTTCTATTGTTGTTTTCCGTTATTCACTCCGCGAGGCCAGTGAAAAAGACGTTTTCGCCGAATCTTCTCGCCGCTCGTTAACGCACTTCAAAATTACGCCTTTCCTTCGTCGGCGGAAAAGTGGCGGAAAACTCGAATAAACTGCCTGACCCACTCGATTTACCGTTGTGCGCGGAAAGGACTCGAGGTCGCGAATGTGTGACACTTCCGCAGCCCCTGGTTGCCGTCACAATACTGAGATCGGCGGCATGAACTATAGCTTCTATAGGCGAAGGCAAAGGCAAAGGCGAAGGCTTCCGAGTCACGCTAAAAAACGACTACCACAGCAACACGAGCAACTGGCGATGTTGGCCAACACACACACACACGGAACCATCAGCACACACATCCACAAGTCGGAAAAGCTTTAAGGAGTCCAATTCGCCGCACTCCGAATGTGTGTTAAAGCTTTTCAAAGGCTGGGGAACTTATGGGCTCATATATCCGCCTAATGTCAAAGGATTATTAAATGCATGTTCACAAGGGGAAATTAAATCTACATGAAATGGCTTAAAAAATTATATAAAAAATTCTGCTTTTTGTAATAATTAATGTTTTATTCTTAAAATTATTTTATTAATTTAGAATGGAAACATAAATTCAATGTAAAATATAATTTTAAAAAATTATATTTCCCAAAATTTAAAACAAATGATGTTAAAAATTGATTATTTGTGTAAAAGTTTTCACATATATTTTGATAATGTCCTTTTAGTACTTTGAAATTTGTTCGTTATTGCATAAACTGCTTTCATAAATTTTTCCTCTTCTCTTTTGAAAACCAAATATCCTGTTTAATATCCTTGCACTGCTTTGTAGGATAATGATAAAATTGGTTCGTAATGGCAGAAACTGCTTTTCTCTTCTATCCTGTTTAATATCCTCGTAGCACTGCTTTCCCAATAATTTATTTATTTCCTCGTATTTCTCTACTACTTATATCCTTGTTTTGTACTAAAAATCCTGTGGGCTGCACAAAATATCCCTATCGCTTCCTTTTCACTGCTTTAGAACTAAAAATTCCTTTTTAGTTCACAAAATATCCTTTCAGTCAATTTTAGCTCAAGGGAATTATTACCCCAGGCTTTTAAACTTTCGGAGTAAATTAATTAATTATTAATTTCAAAAAAAGCATAAAAAATTAATAGTAAATAAATGAAATAAATTATAAATTTTTGTATTGTAAAATTTACAAAAATTATATTTTTTCCTTTAAATGAAAATATTATTTAGTAATTAAAACTATCTTCATGCATATGTTATGCACTTAATGTCTGACATTTAAATGTCTTAATAATTAATCAAAAACCAATAATTCTGCCAATATATAAAGTGTCTAATCTATGCTCTTAATAATTTATAATCGACTGCACATGAGATTAATCAATTTAAACCACCAATTTGCAGACACCTCCTCTTGTCACCACCACTTTTCCTGCATTTTCCCCCTCAACATTCCACTGACATTTCACGTTCGTCAGAGTGAAAGTCGCTGTCTATCTCTCCGCGTTTCCCCACCCCCTCACTTTCACTCAAGGTGAACTCAATTGAGTTCTCAACATTTGCACATCAATTATTTCACAAGCAGCCAGCTCTTTTTTATGGCGATAGAAATAAAAGCAACGCGGCGGCAAAAAAAGAGAATAAATCCAAGCGAAGCCGTGGCTGGAAAAATCAGTCAGGCAAATACTGCATTGGCTGCTGCAGTGGCTCCTGCTGATCCTTCGACGCCTCCACCTGCGGCTATCCTTTTTTGCACCACCCGCATAACAGATTCAATGTCAAAAATTTGACAAACTCAACAAGAAGCGAAAAGAAACACAGAGCCAGAGAGAACAACAACACAACAACTAGGAGAAATTTTCCCAGAGATTTTCGCTGACGAATTTGTGGCAGGTTCATAAATCCAACAAGCAACAACTAACTAACAAGAAGAAGACAGGCGCAAAGAACAACAGGCATTAAAAAATCAGCAAAAACCGACAGGAAGGGCACTGCAAAAAAATACGCAGTTCAAACTATTTGGAAAATAGTTTCTGTAGTTTAAGAGAATTACAGGAAAATTATAAAAACAATAAAAATAAAAGATGGCTTAATAGCTTAGTGAATAGATATTTGATTTGTATACTTATATGCTAATAAATTAATAATATTATCTTAATTCAAGGAACCTACAATCTCTTGAAAAGCTATATCCCTTTTTTTACATTTTTGGTACAGTGCAATGATTTAAAAACAACTTTTTCTGCGTGTGAGCTAAACAAAAACATGTGGTAGAAGAAGTGGAATTTTTGGCGCCAAAAGAGATAGAAATGCGGGAGGACAAGAGCTGGAAAAGCGAGAAAAAATGCCAAACAAATCGAGATCTCGACACAAAAGTCGCTTTCAAAATTTATTCAGTCAGCGTCGAAGTTCATTTGAGTGTCATAAATCAGTTGGCCCCAGCAGAACCAGAACCAGAACCACCCAACCAGCACCACCCGCGGAAGGGAAAGTTGCCTCTGGGTGGTGGGCGTTGGGTGGTTGAAGCAAAATTCCGAAAAAGGCGGGGGTGCAGGGGCATATAAATGACAACTTTGACTATTGGCTGCCATTGCACGTACAACAAACTGCAGCTTGGGCACGATTCAGCATCGTTGCCATGGCCCTCGCATATTTCCTTGCAGCGGAAAAGCGTAGGAAAAGCGTCGGCAAAGGAAAATATTTTCGAAATCGTAGCTACTGCAGGAGCAGCAGTGGCAGTAGCAGTGGCAGCAATAGAAGCGGCAGCCGCAGCAGCAAGTGGAGCCAAATGTCATGAGAAATCTAGTCCGGGGCACCCGGCACACACAAAAACATTTCTTAAGCGGGTGGCGTGACGTGCCATTGGAAAATGGGGGGGGCTTTCCACCCAGACTGGGCCAAAACCCATTCCCCCACCGACTTGATAAAACATTTCTTCGTTATAAATCAATTTGAATTGCGCGAGCAGCTTAAGCGACAAACGATTTGCAGACAGTCAACCACCGAAAAACCCAAAAGCCAGAACAAACCAACAAGAATGGACAAAAAAAAGGATATTCGGCAAAGCAGAAAATGCTGTTTATTTAGGCAATTTGTTGAAAAGACAGCTGGGAGTGAAAATCCGGCAAGAAGCCGTACAAATTGAGCTGGTACTATTTTTCCAAAAAATGTGATTATCACTTCTTAATGAGGTGGCATAAAATATTAATATTTATAAAGCTGTTGTTTAAACAGCTGACGTATGGGTATTGAGCCACATTAAAGCTTTTAAAACAAGCCATTTACTTATTGAATAAATCCTTACAAAATGAATCAATCATAATTAAATTTAATTTTTGCAAATAAATAATGCGTGTGAGTATGGGTTCGTGAAACGCTTAAGTGTAACGCAATTTAAAATGTGTTTATATTTAATATATGTCAATAAATTCACACGTCATGATTTTAAGCCCGGGCTTCAAGAGTTGACACTCACACAATTATTACCAAAGTGTTAATTAAATTAGTAATAATATTTTGTGAAAAATTGAATTGAAAATATAGACAACCTTAAAGCGTTATTTGGAACTTTAAAATTTATACAATTTATTAGCTGCAAAAACTAATATAAATTTAAGACTCATTTCTATTCTTCATCTCTTAAATTAAAGATGAAAATTATCAACATTAATTTCCGTTGAAAATAGGTATTATAAATTTAGGTCATTTAACATCAATTGTATAATTATTCATTTAATGGAATAATAAAACACACATTTTAAACTCTAAACGGTCTAAATGAAAAATGTAAATGTAAACCGAAATCCACCGAAATCCCTGCCTAGCCCGAAGCACTTGCTTATGTTAAACAATCCACCAAAAACTTGACATCAAATTTGTATGAGGATAAGGATACACCCCTCCCGCCTAAACCCTTTACATCCCACATACATACATACATATATATATATATATATATATATATATATATGTATATGTGTATGTCCCATCTCGCTCAGCTGCTGCTGCAAATGAAGCGCTAAATCTGCAAGTGTCAAGCACAGGAGCTGCAACAGCAACATTTCCTATTTTTTGTATCTCTTTGTAAGCATTTTATTTTGGTTCCTTTATTTTGTCGTACTTGCCGCTGTGTTGTGTGTGCTTAATTTTTTTTTTGTTTTATTCTGTTTTGTTTGGGGCAGCATCATTGTGCCGCATTTTGCTGCGGACGGGCCTAACCCATTTGCATAGCTGAAAGTCCGGGAAACGAGGCGATGCGGAGATGCTTCCATTTAACCCACTGAGCTCGTTTTCCCAGCCGCCGAAAGTAACAAAAAAAAAACCGCACAAACCGGAAGTGAAACAATGTACAGCGCTTACACACATGCACACACACACACACACACACACACTTTTGAATGCGAAAAGGTAAAAAGAATACCAAAAAACACTTTTACACCTGCCGGCAACAGGGCAACCCAGAAATTGTTTGGGCTAATGTTGTCCTAATGCCGAGCTTTCCCCCCTCCCCCTTCTCCGCCGTCATGAACAAACGAAATATTTGTTTGCGGAAATCATCAGCATCATCATCACTTCCGCCATGAGTTTCTCTCGCCCCAAGGAGCCGTCACGTGTTGGTGCCATTTTTTATATAATTTCACTTTGACTTCACCTGGCCAGGATGCCTTCAGCCCTCCCCCCACCCCCCTCCCACCTTCCTCCTGCTTTCAAGTATCGCATTTGATAGTAGTCGGGAGTTGTTTACCTGTTTAAGTTTTTGGTAAGGAGTGGGGGGTCTGCCGAAAGGTGTCGGTCCCATCGAGCACAAGTTGAGCAGCTACCAGTACCAGTCCTTCCCTGATTATTTAAGAGGTCGAGAGTCGAGTGCCAATCCACAGAATACCTTTCATTCTAACCCTCTAAAATTCCTTTACCACACAGCAAAAAATGTTAATAGTATTTAAATATTTCAAAGTATTCAAATAATTAGCATGTAAATAAATCACCAATTTATAGGATACCAATAAAGTTGGAATATTTTTCTACAAGAGATACAAGATTGTCATTTTAATAATTTATAAATGTACTTATAACTATTTATAATAGGGACTTTAATGGTGACGATTTAAGTCGTATTTTTCTTGAATTCTCAAGCTTAAACAGGCCAAAGTCAAAACCCA